TTCTGTTTCTGTATAATGTGAAGATAATTTGCTTATTTCTAAGTAGTCTACCAAATATTGATAAAGATTTAAATCCATGATGTAGAAGTAGTGTTTGGGTTACTGGTTCTAGGTTCAAGTTTTGATAAAGCACCAACATTAGAATGAATACGACCCGGTTTATGAAGAACTTCAAAATTATAGGGTTGCAGTTTCATGATCCATCGACCAAACTTTCTTTTTGGTTCTTTTGTTTTTAACTACTGAAGAGCAGAATGATCTGTAACAAGAGTAAAAACAGAAGTTCCAAGATATTTGTGGAAGTGTTCTATAGCCCACACAATATCAGCACATTCAAGTTCAGTAGCAGCATAGTTTTGTTCCTCTTTTCTAAGACTTTTGCTAATATAAGCAATAGGATGTTCTTTTCCTTTATCATCTTTTTAACTAAGGGTTGCTCCAAATCCTTGATATGAGGAGTCTACAGTGAGGATAAATCTTTTTTTAAAATTAGGATATGCAAGGATAGGGGCAGTAACTAGTTGTTGCTTTAGCTCCTTAAAGGCTTTTTGTTGCTCAGCTTTCCATTTATAAGGTTCATTCTTTTGAAGCAATTTATTTAAAGAGTTAGCAATAGCTAAAAAGTTACTAATAAATTGTCAATAATATCTAGCTAGTCCTAAGAATGACTGAAGTTTGGTAATCCCAGTAGGTGAAGCAATGTTTTGAACAGCTTCTATCTTTTTGGGTCGGGTGCAATTCTTTTTTCACTTACAATATGACCAAGAAAGAGTAGTGAAGTCATTCAAAACTTGCATTTTTTAATATTAAATCTAAGACCTGCTTTTCTGATCCTTTGAAATACAATTCGAAGGTAGTTCAAATGTTTCTCAAAAGTTCGTGAGAAGATATTAATGTCATCCAAGTACACAACTACAAACTTCCAATTGATATCCTAGTAAACATAATTCATAAGTCTTTGAAATATAGCAGGTGCATTGCAAAGATCAAACGGCATAACATTGAACTCGTAAGTACCATAATGAGTTACAAATGTAGTCTTAACCTTATCTCTAGAGTCTATTTCTACTTGCCAGTACCTACTAGCAATATCTAAGGTAGAAAACCATTTAGCTCTTGACAAAGCATTGAGCATTTCATCAATACAAGGAAGGGGATAAGCATCCTTTTTAGTAACATTATTAAGTTTCTTATAGTCTATACAGAACCATAATTTCTTATTCTTTTTCTTGACAAGAACTACAGGTGAAGTCCAGGGGCTTTTGGAATGCTTAATCAACTTATTTTCTAACATCCTTTTGATTTCTTTTTCGATAAATGCTTGTTTATCTGGAGAAGCAGAGTAAGGCCTAGATTTTATTGGAGGCACATCTTCAGTATAAATTCGATGCTTTACAATATCAGTTCTTCCTAGTTTATTGATATTCTTGGCAAATAAATCTGCAAATTCATCTAATAATTTCTTAAATTGTTTGTCTTGTTCAGTTGTAAGTTGACCTGTTTCAACATGATTTTCTGAAGTTAATAAGTACTCTTCTTCTAGTTCTAATTGTCCAATAGTATAGACTTCCTGAAAATTTAATTCTTCTTTCTGAAATTCTGTTTCTTTTGCAGATGCAGGTTAAGCAAAGCATTGCATCCAAAATTGGTTTTGTTGTCTATTCCTTTCTTCTTGCTATTGAGTTAATCTTATATGATCCTAATACAAAGAAAAGAGTAACTGGCTTAACCGTTCATTTTCTTTTTGAAGTTGTAAAATTTGTTGTACTTGCTAATTTATAATATCTTGTAGCTTAGGCTCTTGTTCTGGTTCTTTTTCTTTTTGTGAACTAGTAGATAGCTTTATTTGTTCCTGATAGCATTCATTATAAAAACCTTGATTGGGCTCTAGTTCAGAAATATATTTAGCAAACAAACAATCTGAACACAAAGCCACTTTGCTTTCAAAATTAGTATGCAAGTTGACAATAGCTTGTTGATGATCAAAATCAGCATTCGATAGATCAAAAGACTCAACCAGAATTTGGTTTAATTGTTGTTCTTCATCAGTAGTTAATTGTGTTTTACCAACACGAAAGAGCAGAGTTAATTCCTCATTTGTAAACTCTCTATTAAATCTATCTGTTTCCTGTTCTACTTCTGCTTGAACAATACTCTGAGATGTTATACCTAGCAAGGTTTAGGCTAACCGGTATATACTATCTTGGTTCATATCATAATAACTTCTAGCACTTTTGTTAGACTTAGTATAATGCTTAATTCTGGTCCACAAGTTATAGTTTAGGTTATACTTGATATCTTCACTAGCTTTGTATACATACATATGCTCAAAGCTACAAAACCAAGTTCTATTTGACAAATTATATATGTTGTGTTTAGGATTTTCTTTTTCACATACGATGTATTTAACTAAAGTTCCTCTTCCTAATCCTTGTTCATAATAATAATAGCTCCTGGAGTCTCCTTGATTCAAATTTTCATAATAGTCCTTATAGCATACTTTGCAGACTAGAGTCCCTTTTAGTAGTATTAATTCATTACCAAATTGAGAATACTTGTATTGATAACAGTGATGTTTCCTCTTTTGACTATAATAATATGCTCTTTGGTTAGCAACTTTTTCTTCATTACAACTACATTGATATTTCTTATTTTCTTGTTCAAGTTTACTTCTAGAACAATTAGTACTAATATGCTTTTTGTTATTACACTTTCTATATTCATTTTCAGGACAATCCTTAAATTGATGACTTGATTGACCACAATTAGTACAGATCGTATATTTAGGCTTTTAATAAGGATATTTAACAGCAATATGTCCATACTCATCATATCGCCAATATTTGTTATATTAGCAATTTTCAAAGTAGTGATCAGTTTGTCTACATGTTCCACATTCCTGGTTTTTCTTGTGAGAGATTTTTGGTTTTTGTTGATATATAGTCCATCCTGAATCTTCAATATTATTAGATTCTGTTTCCAAGGTGTAGGCTTCGTGAGAGATTAATTCTTCATCCTCATATTCTTCTTCCCAGTCATCATCTACTTTACTGACTATAGGTTGTCCTTCTATAGCTTGATTATGCTTATAGGTAGTAGGTACAATAATACGGTGACTGTTCCAATATATGATATATTCTTTAGTTTTCCAATAATATTGGGCTTCTACTTTGCAAGACCAATTATTTTCCAAAATAAGAAAGTAAGTAGTTGCTGGTACAACTTCTATAGAGATAGAAATAGTAATTCCTGCAATTTCTACAGAAACATCCTTAATAACACCTAGAAGTCTAACTTGTTTTCCAAGTGCAGATGAAATTAAGCTATTAGAAGAGATATCTATTTCTAATTCAATTTCTTTGGCAGCTTGTTGGGTAATCATACTAATAGCAGCTCTGCTATCAATAATAGCAGTAAATGATTTATTACGAATAGTTGTTTGATATTTCACAAGAATAGTTCGTGGTCTATTAGAGTACACCAGATTTACAATATTGAAGTTACCTTGCAGATAATTTGCTAAGGCTCCTCTAATACTAGTATTATTTAAAAGAGTATCCCAATGATTGGTAGAGGTAGTTTCTTTATTATCTGCCAAGTTGATATACTGATGAATAGAAGATCTATAACAAACTTCTCGGTCTCTAGACTGACTTCTAGACCTGTTTCTATCATAGTGATTATAATCTCTAGATCTGCTTCTGTCATAACGATTATAATCTCGAGTATTTCTTCTATACCTTTCTTGACTTCTAGATAGATTTCTTCTATAATTTCGAGATCCTGATCTGGATCTTCTTCTGGAATCTCTATTTTGATAAAAGTTGTTTCTTTCTCTATCAAGTTGATATTGTGCAACAATATATCCAATATTGTTATATCAAAAGCAACGAATATTTGGGCTGATTTTTCTATTTCTGTCTTGATTCCGATTATTTAGATTATAACCACTTTTAACAGTGTAAGCTTCCTTCTTGTTATCTTGTTGAACCAAATTAAGTCTCATTTTTTTAAGACTATCAGTTAGATCTTGGATCATATTTTCTACTTTACTAGTAGATCCAGAAGCTAATATTTTTCCAGTTTCCCATTTTCTGGCCATTTCGATTGCAGCATTCATATCTGCAAGGTCAGATGCTTGTACATAGACAGCCAAGTCAGGTTGCAGATCTTGAATAAAAAGTTGTTTAATAAAATCTTCTGGGAATCTTTCATTAGGATCAATTCGATTTCGAAGCTTTTTAAAATGATTAATATAGGTATCAACAGAATCTGCTTCTTGCTAGATATCAAAGAGTTGTTTTTGCTAGGCAGCTTGTTGAGTAGAAGTAGAGAAGCGAGTTTTAAACATATATTAAAAACTACGGACTTGGGCATTGTCAGTTCTAAAAGAAGTAGCAGTTTGGGTATCATTTAAAGACTGATACCATTCTTAAGTAATCTCTTTTAGATATGCAGAAGCAAGCTCTAATTGTCTATTCTCATTTCATCTATTAGCAATAGCAGCATGTTCAAATTTTTTTATCCATTCAACAGGATTTTGGGACCCATCTCCTTCGAAGTACTTTAAGATTACCAAAGTTTTTTCACTGTCTCATCCTAGTGCAGTAGCTAAAGCTTGCATAGCAATAGTAGCATCTCATAAAGCAGCTTCAGCCATTGGTTCAAGATTTATAGATATAATAAGGTTTGCTTCAATATTAATCTGATCAAGAATTTGATCTGTTTCAAAACCAAATGATTCATAGGGTGTACTAAAATTAGGATTTAAAACTACAGACTCTGGTAGAGAAGTACTAATGGGTAATTGATATGATATAGATCCTTTACTAAAAGAACTATCTTCTAAATAAGTAATATTAGTAGGGTCAGAGTATTGGGTTAATTGGAGATTATTATTAGAAATATATGAAGTTTTAAGTGGTTTTAACTCTTCAGATAGATTAATTAAATCCTCTATTTGGTAGTCAGTATCAATATATAAGTCGTAGGGGTTAGCAAAATATATTTCTAAAGATGAATAATGTGTAAAGGTAGTATATCTTTGTAATAAATAAATTATTAAAAATTTGGGATCAGGAATTTTACTATAATAGAAATAGCTAAATATTATATCTCGAGCGGTTCTATGAGCAATAGTATATCTGGTAGTATACTTTAAAGTATGTAGTTTTTTACAAGTAGATAAGCTACAGAATTGTAATAGGCAACAGTATAATACCACTCAATAAACTGACCAAACTGTCTATTCGAACTATATCGTCTAAGAGAAAAACAAATAGAACAAGATAAATCTGGATAATTGAGTTGTAGATTTGGGTAAGGTAGTAAAGTAGTTTGCTAATGGGCTTGTTCATGTAAGGCTATTTGATCATTATGAAACTCAGTTACAGTAGTCATATACTATATTATACTCTGATTCTTTTTCCAAAACTAAATGTTGAAATCCAATTGACTGTTCCATTCTAAATTTGCTAGCAATATAAAAACAAAATCCTATCCAGGATATACGGCTAAGATATCATATACAAAATTGTACATAGCTAAAATTATCACGTACAGGATTGTACAAACTAATATATCATATACAGAAATTGCACCAAAAATATCATATACAAAGATTGTAATAAAGAGTATCACGTACAGAAATTGTATACAGTTAAGAGTATCACGTACAGAAATTGTACACAGCTAAGAATATTATGTCCAAAGATTATACACTAATTTACTGTTTTTAAATTAAAGATTTTAATAAGAAGGATTGCTGTAGTACTGTAATACCTGTCAATACTTTCATGTTTCTGCCAAGAGGCACCAAAATGTTATAGCAGTACTTAAAATATAAGACAGTATTGACAGATATAGAATAGTTTTATTTTAACAATAAAGTTATACAAATAAGTTATACAGATAATACAGATGATACAAGTAGTACAGATAATACAATTCATGTTACAAAAGAAAGGTACAGATATTAGATAGCCAATCCAATATCCAAGGGAAGGTAAGAATTGTAGAAGAGATATCTGTAGGAACTAAAGGAAAAACCTCCCTTTATATATCTGTTGAAGTGGCATACACTAGTACACACCAAGTGGCATACACTGGCATACAACCATGTGGCAAGTAGCATACACTAGCATACAACCATGTGGTAGGTAGCATACACTGGCATACAACTATGTGGCAGGTAGCATATACTAGCATACAGCATACAGTAGCATACACTTTTAACTATTCTATTCTAATAAAATATATTTAAATAATAATATAATTTAACTAATACAAAATACAAAATATAAAATATAAAATATAAAATATAAAATATATAATATGAAATACTATTCTACGAACTATTTGTATAATATTATAAACTCATAGTGTAACAATATGTAGAACTATTTCTATAAAGTTGCATGCATTTAACAGCTGAATAAACCAGGATAGCTCTATATAGTATAGCAATTGTACTTAGTATTATAACTCAATACTAATATAGAAATTATAGGTATTGAATTTGCATGCATCTAACGGCTGAACAAACAGAAGTTCAATCGAACATCTTCTATAAATATCTTAGCTTGTGTTCTTGCTTCATTTAGTTAGATATTGGGCTTCAATTTTTTAAACAGCATGTCGTATTTATCATCGTATTTATCATCGTATATGAATGAACAAAAGTATATAAACGATGGTTTCTTAACCTTGAGCAAAACTTCAGAATTTTAAATTCTAAATAAATAAAAAAATAAATAAACCTATAGTTAATACAAAATTCGATTCTTAATAACAGCAATTCGTTACTTCATTGATTTCATTACCTGTATAATTTTTCTTAAATATATAAAAATTTTTATTTTAAAAAATATGGAAGTTCATAGTAAACAGGAATTTTGCAAAGGCTATAATCAATTTTGCCCAATTGAATCATTTTTAAAAAACAATAAATCTGAAAAAACTTGCTCAAGATACAAAGATAAAAAAAATAGACAAAATGTGCAAAAACGTGCTGCTGTGAATGCTTAAGCACCTCCCGGTTATGGTATGATAGAAGATTTTCTTGATGTTTTGAAAACAATAAAAGGCAGAACATGTAAAATTTTAAACAAATTATTAATATTAACGAATATACGGCTTCAATTGATTCAAAAAACGTTGAGACGCATATTCAAATAACATTTTTACGACTATAAACTTTAAATTCAAGTAAATATAAGTAAAATATATTCAAATTAGTATATATATTGTAATTAAAAAAACTTATATCCTAGAGAGCAAACTTTTTCCGTAAATCCCTTACACTAACTTAAATAAAAATTCGTGCATCATAAAATTGCCCATATCTCAATAATTTATTAAAGAAATATACTTCCACTGCTTAAGAAAAACTGCTTCTCTCACAGTTTTACACATATTCTATAAGTTTTAAGTCTTTAGCTTAGAAACTCGTAGCAAAAACATCAAAAACCAGTTTTGGTTTTCCTAACCAAACTTTTATTTATTTCTTAAAA